CATTTTGCTTCCTTGCCATAGGTGTTGTGATACCAACACCAGTCAGGATTTTTGAGAGAACGTGTGTTGGACTTAGATCGTCCACGTACGTTTAGCCGTTGAGGGGATTTGGAACGACGGTAGGAGGAATTGCTAGGCTTGTTTGACCTAAGCATCTGCTGGACGGAGTTGATTAACTCTATCATTGCCGAATCCTTCTTCGAAGCCTGTTCGGTAACTGAGTATACTTCGGTAACTGGACGTTTCGTTATCTCTAGAATTTTATCTGCAGAGACAGCTAAATCATCTATGAGAACACCCTGAAGTGTCACAAGTACAGTCTGAACTGACTGTGGCAGTTTGGATAGAAATAGTTCTCTAAACAGTCCTTCATCGAACTGACTTTGGCCAATGATCTCTTTCATTCTTGCCAGCATGCTTACGGCTGACTGATCTCCTAACTCGATGTTACGAAATAACTCATCCAGACGTTGTCGATCTGTGAGAACGTTTCTCTTGAGTATGGATGCTTTTAGCAACTCATACGAGTTACTTACCGACATCTGCAGAGTTACGCACCTGCTGAATTCCCGCGGTAGGGCGTGAATAACTGCAAGGAACTGTGAACGTTGATCAGTTATGCCATGTTCACAAAAATCGGACTCAGCAATCTGAAACCACGTTTCAGCATTATCTGGCCAAAATGGTACTAGCTGAAGTGTTTTGGCGGTTGAGCGAATCTGAATAACCTTGGGGCTAGGATCACTCATGACGAAAAGTATGCCGATAACAATATAGTACAAGAATAAACACAAAAAGGAACGAACTCACCGGGTTTATCTGCGTGTGAAATGAAGATGAAGTTCGAGGTTGGGCTCACCAGTTTAGGGGAGCTGTAGGTATCGAGTGTTCGCGAGTTGTACGGATTATACTAACGCAAGATCTTATACCAACAACCACTATAGTGTTCGTTCTTCGAGTACCAAATGGTAAAGCAAAAGACCAGATTTTGTCGTCCAAATACGATATATATTTTGTGACCAAATCGCGGGTAGGAATGAATGCTTAGCTAGCTAGTAATCGTGCACGCACGTGACACAACGGAGCACCAAATGGCGGGGATGCTTGACCGTAAGCCTTCAGCTAAACAAGTCGACTTAAACAGTGATGGTCAGCATCCAATGTTGAGTGATGATTGCTGTGGTTAATAATTTTGGGGAATTATTTACCGCTAGAGTACTTACGTTTGCTGGCGAAATCAACTTTGGAAGTTGTGAAAATGGTCTGTATTCGAGGAGATTGTTTCGGCTTGAAACGACTACTTCTGTTCTTCACCGAAGAATTTTTCTGTGGTGGACAGTAACCCTCTTTATGTCCAAAACGGTGACAATTACGGCATTTATGTTTCTTGAAAGGACAGAACTTGACAAAATGCCACGAACCACAGTGCCAGCACACTGAAGGAGGTTTAGCTGAATTCTGAGACTGACGTGCTGTGTGCTTAACGGTGATCGGAGGACTTTTCACTGTGTTAATTGAACCAAATTCAGACGACTGTCGTTGGCACTCCACCATAGCAGTATCGTGCTTCAAGTTGATTAAGCGTTGGCATTCTGCTGTCATCATTTGTAAAGTCATTTTCGGGTCTTGTTCCACGAGTGACAGAAGTCGAGTTCTTATGTCAGTATCTTCTGGGTTCTTCAAACCACAAATAAAAATCAAACACTTGAACTGATCTGATGTCATTTCGTGTGGTTTGAATCTTTCGCATTCTTTGTTCACTTTGCCAGCGTAAGTGACATAATCATCGGAAGGCATTTTTGTCAACTGAAAACATTGATACCGAATATTAAACATGGATGACTGTTCACCAAAGATTTGTGATAAAACGGTGACTGTCTCATCGAATGATAATTCACGTGGGTTCTTAGGCAGAATGAAGTTAACATATCTGTTGTGCTCAACAGTTCCAAGTTTTCTTAGTAACAATCGGACTTTGGCAGCATCATCAAACATGTAGCATTCAATACGAAAAACGTCTTCATAACGATTGAACCATGCATCAAATACGAGACCAGATATTGGGTCGTAGTTGAATTCACTGATGGAATTTGAGATGCTTTCGTATTTGTCTGAATGAGATGTTGATGGAACTTGAATTGACAGCTTCTGAGTGAGAGCTTCGATTAATTTTAGTTGAGCTGCTTCATTCTGAAGTTGCTGCTGCTGCAAGATGGATTTGAGATCGTCCAGAGAGATAGACATTGTAATTGGGTTGTAATTAACACAGTCAAAAATGTTCTATAGATGCGCTGAACAGAATAAAACTCGTCGTCGCTTGCTTGTTATAACTGCAATGAATTAAAGTAAACCCGTCGCCAATTTGTTATAACTGCAATGAATTGAGGTCAAACCCCGTCGCCAATTTGTTGTAACTGTAGGGGAATTAAATGAGGAACGTTGTTGCCTTGTTCTGTCTGCGCCTGACTAATATGCCTATCTGCTTCTGGTACCTTCCGATTCAGCGAACCACGCAAATATCAAAAGACAAAGTCTGGTCTGTGACTGTGTATTGTAGTACAACAACTACGACTACAACGACAAATAACTTATTTAGGAAATGGTATTTATACAATTTTACAACCAATAGAGACAGCTAACAGTATTTGAAATAATTGGTCGTAATAGTCAATAACAAAATGCGTGGGAATGATGATATACCACTTATGCGAGATTAACAGTCATTAAGATAATTGAACAATAACAAAGTGCCTGGGAAATGATAATATAACACATATGCGAGATTAACAGTCATTAAGATAATTGAACAATAACAAAGTGTGTGGGATCCTATCACCTCCCCCCGTTAAAAGTGTAGGACTTGCTTTTTGGATCTATTTGAAAAGGTTTTGGAGCTCTTCTTTGTCGAGTTGACCTTCGCGTGGTACTGGATAGAGTGTGATCTGCGTCCCGGGCTTCCGGCTGCGGAAGGATTTGGCGTCGTACGATAATGCAGCAAGAATCTATCCAAAATTTCTTCTGTTGTTCCCTCCCCCTTCGGTTTTGCATAAGCACTTGGTAAATTTGCAGCAACCAAGTTTGTCCTGGAAGACAGAAGCGTGCTTTTGACGCAGGCGTTGTAAGAGAGACTGATCAGATACATGTCCGGGAACAACATTATTTGGTGAGGACGAAACATTAGAGCATACTGAATTTAATGGTACATTGAAGATATGGAGCTTGTCTAACCAGTCAAGACCAAGCAAATTCAAATCATGGTAGTTTGTGACGTAACATACACCATTGAACTGATTCTCACCAAACTGAACCTGGCAATTTATCTCACCCACGAGTTTCAGTATATCTCCAGAGGCATTCTTAGCGACATGCTCGGTCGGCAGAATCTGTGGGCACCCAAGTTTGCGCCACGTAGTTCGGGAAATTAAAGTGATATCTGATGCCGTATCCAACTGAAGACGAATAGATTTGCCGTTAATACGTAGTGTAATGTACTTACGTTTGCTGGCGAAATCGACTTTGGAAGTTGTGAAAATGGTCTGTATTCGAGGAGATTGTTTCGGCTTGAAACGACTACTTCTGTTCTTCACCGAAGAATTTTTCTGTGGTGGACAGTAACCCTCTTTATGTCCAAAACGGTGACAATTACGGCATTTATGTTTCTTGAAAGGACAGAACTTGACAAAATGCCACGAACCACAGTGCCAGCACACTGAAGGAGGTTTAGCTGAATTCTGAGACTGACGTGCTGTGTGCTTAACGGTGATCGGAGGACTTTTCACTGTGTTAATTGAACCAAATTCAGACGACTGTCGTTTGCACTCCACCATAGCAGTATCGTGCTTCAAGTTGATTAAGCGTTGGCATTCTGCTGTCACCATTTGTAAAGTCATTTTTGGGTCTTGTTCCACGAGTGACAGAAGTCGAGTTCTTATGTCAGTATCTTCTGGGTTCTTCAACCCACAAATAAAAATCAAACACTTGAACTGATCTGATGTCATTTCATGTGGTTTGAACCTTTCGCATTCTTTGTTCACTTTGCCAGCGTAAGTAACATAATCATCGGAAGGCATTTTTGTCAACTGAAAACATTGATACCGAATATTAAACATGGATGACTGTTCACCAAAGATTTGTGATAAAACGGTGACTGTCTCATCGAATGATAATTCACGTGGGTTCTTAGGCAGAATGAAGTTAACATATCTGTTGTGCTCAACAGTTCCAAGTTTTCTTAGTAACAATCGGACTTTGGCAGCATCATCAAACATGTGGCATTCAATACGAAAAACGTCTTCATAACGATTGAACCATGCATCAAATACGAGACCAGATATTGGGTCGTAGTTGAATTCACTGATGGAATTTGAGATGCTTTCGTATTTGTCTGAATGAGATGTTGATGGAACTTGAATTGACAGCTTCTGAGTGAGAGCTTCGATTAATTTTAGTTGAGCTGCTTCATTCTGAAGTTGCTGCTGCTGCAAGATGGATTTGAGATCGTCCAGAGAGATAGACATTGTAATTGGGTTGTAATTAACACAGTCAAAAATGTTCTATAGATGCGCTGAACAGAATAAAACTCGTCGTCGCTTGCTTGTTATAACTGCAATGAATTAAAGTAAAACCCGTCGCCAATTTGTTATAACTGCAATGAATTGAGGTAAACCGCGTCGCCAATTTGTTGTAACTGTAGGGGAATTAGATGAGGAACGTTGTTGCCTTGTTCTGTCTGCGCCTGACTAATATGCCTATCTGCTTCTGGTACCTTCCGATTCAGCGAACCACGCAAATATCAAAAGACAAAGTCTGGTCTGTGACTGTGTATTGTAGTACAACAACTACGACTACAACGACAAATAACTTATTTAGGAAATGGTATTTATACAATTTTACAACCAATAGAGACAGCTAACAGTATTTGAAATAATTGGTCGTAATAGTCAATAACAAAATGCGTGGGAATGATGATATACCACTTATGCGAGATTAACAGTCATTAAGATAATTGAACAATAACAAAGTGCCTGGGAAATGATAATATAACACATATGCGAGATTAACAGTCATTAAGATAATTGAACAATAACAAAGTGTGTGGGATCCTATCACCTCCCCCCGTTAAAAGTGTAGGACTTGCTTTTTGGATCTATTTGAAAAGGTTTTGGAGCTCTTCTTTGTCGAGTTGACCTTCGCGTGGTACTGGATAGAGTGTGATCTGCGTCCCGGGCTTCCGGCTGCGGAAGGATTTGGCGTCGTACGATAATGCAGCAAGAATCTATCCAAAATTTCTTCTGTTGTTCCCTCCCCCTTCGGTTTTGCATAAGCAACTTGGGTAAATTTGCAGCAACCAAGTTTGTCCTGGAAAACAGAAGCGTGCTTTTGACGCAGGCGTTGTAAGAGAGACTGATCAGATACATGTCCGGGAACAACATTATTTGGTGAGGACGAAACATTAGAGCATACTGAATTTAATGGTACATTGAAGATATGGAGCTTGTCTAACCAGTCAAGACCAAGCAAATTCAAATCATGGTAGTTTGTGACGTAACATACACCATTGAACTGATTCTCACCAAACTGAACCTGGCAATTTATCTCACCCACGAGTTTCAGTATATCTCCAGAGGCATTCTTAGCGACATGCTCGGTCGGCAGAATCTGTGGGCACCCAAGTTTGCGCCACGTAGTTCGGGAAATTAAGGTGATATCTGATGCCGTATCCAACTGAAGACGAATAGATTTGCCGTTAATACGTAGTGTAATGTACTTACGTTTGCTGGCGAAATCGACTTTGGAAGTTGTGAAAATGGTCTGTATTCGAGGAGATTGTTTCGGCTTGAAACGACTACTTCTGTTCTTCACCGAAGAATTTTTCTGTGGTGGACAGTAACCCTCTTTATGTCCAAAACGGTGACAATTACGGCATTTATGTTTCTTGAAAGGACAGAACTTGACAAAATGCCACGAACCACAGTGCCAGCACACTGAAGGAGGTTTAGCTGAATTCTGAGACTGACGTGCTGTGTGCTTAACGGTGATCGGAGGACTTTTCACTGTGTTAATTGAACCAAATTCAGACGACTGTCGTTTGCACTCCACCATAGCAGTATCGTGCTTCAAGTTGATTAAGCGTTGGCATTCTGCTGTCACCATTTGTAAAGTCATTTTTGGGTCTTGTTCCACGAGTGACAGAAGTCGAGTTCTTATGTCAGTATCTTCTGGGTTCTTCAACCCACAAATAAAAATCAAACACTTGAACTGATCTGATGTCATTTCATGTGGTTTGAACCTTTCGCATTCTTTGTTCACTTTGCCAGCGTAAGTGACATAATCATCGGAAGGCATTTTTGTCAACTGAAAACATTGATACCGAATATTAAACATGGATGACTGTTCACCAAAGATTTGTGATAAAACGGTGACTGTCTCATCGAATGATAATTCACGTGGGTTCTTAGGCAGAATGAAGTTAACATATCTGTTGTGCTCAACAGTTCCAAGTTTTCTTAGTAACAATCGGACTTTGGCAGCATCATCAAACATGTGGCATTCAATACGAAAAACGTCTTCATAACGATTGAACCATGCATCAAATACGAGACCAGATATTGGGTCGTAGTTGAATTCACTGATGGAATTTGAGATGCTTTCGTATTTGTCTGAATGAGATGTTGATGGAACTTGAATTGACAGCTTCTGAGTGAGAGCTTCGATTAATTTTAGTTGAGCTGCTTCATTCTGAAGTTGCTGCTGCTGCAAGATGGATTTGAGATCGTCCAGAGAGATAGACATTGTAATTGGGTTGTAATTAACACAGTCAAAAATGTTCTATAGATGCGCTGAACAGAATAAAACTCGTCGTCGCTTGCTTGTTATAACTGCAATGAATTAAAGTAAACCCGTCGCCAATTTGTTATAACTGCAATGAATTGAGGTAAACCGCGTCGCCAATTTGTTGTAACTGTAGGGGAATTAGATGAGGAACGTTGTTGCCTTGTTCTGTCTGCGCCTGACTAATATGCCTATCTGCTTCTGGTACCTTCCGATTCAGCGAACCACGCAAATATCAAAAGACAAAGTCTGGTCTGTGACTGTGTATTGTAGTACAACAACTACGACTACAACGACAAATAACTTATTTAGGAAATGGTATTTATACAATTTTACAACCAATAGAGACAGCTAACAGTATTTGAAATAATTGGTCGTAATAGTCAATAACAAAATGCGTGGGAATGATGATATACCACTTATGCGAGATTAACAGTCATTAAGATAATTGAACAATAACAAAGTGCCTGGGAAATGATAATATAACACATATGCGAGATTAACAGTCATTAAGATAATTGAACAATAACAAAGTGTGTGGGATCCTATCACCTCCCCCCGTTAAAAGTGTAGGACTTGCTTTTTGGATCTATTTGAAAAGGTTTTGGAGCTCTTCTTTGTCGAGTTGACCTTCGCGTGGTACTGGATAGAATGTGATCTGCGTCCCGGGCTTCCGGCTGCGGAAGGATTTGGCGTCGTACGATAATGCAGCAAGAATCTATCCAAAATTTCTTCTGTTGTTCCCTCCCCCTTCGGTTTTGCATAAGCAACTTGGGTAAATTTGCAGCAACCAAGTTTGTCCTGGAAGACAGAAGCATGCTTTTGACGCAGGCGTTGTAAGAGAGACTGATCAGATACATGTCCGGGAACAACATTATTTGGTGAGGACGAAACATTAGAGCATACTGAATTTAATGGTACATTGAAGATATGGAGCTTGTCTAACCAGTCAAGACCAAGCAAATTCAAATCATGGTAGTTTGTGACGTAACATACACCATTGAACTGATTCTCACCAAACTGAACCTGGCAATTTATCTCACCCACGAGTTTCAGTATATCTCCAGAGGCATTCTTAGCGACATGCTCGGTCGGCAGAATCTGTGGGCACCCAAGTTTGCGCCACGTAGTTCGGGAAATTAAGGTGATATCTGATGCCGTATCCAACTGAAGACGAATAGATTTGCCGTTAATACGTAGTGTAATGTACTTACGTTTGCTGGCGAAATCGACTTTGGAAGTTGTGAAAATGGTCTGTATTCGAGGAGATTGTTTCGGCTTGAAACGACTACTTCTGTTCTTCACCGAAGAATTTTTCTGTGGTGGACAGTAACCCTCTTTATGTCCAAAACGGTGACAATTACGGCATTTATGTTTCTTGAAAGGACAGAACTTGACAAAATGCCACGAACCACAGTGCCAGCACACTGAAGGAGGTTTAGCTGAATTCTGAGACTGACGTGCTGTGTGCTTAACGGTGATCGGAGGACTTTTCACTGTGTTAATTGAACCAAATTCAGACGACTGTCGTTTGCACTCCACCATAGCAGTATCGTGCTTCAAGTTGATTAAGCGTTGGCATTCTGCTGTCATCATTTGTAAAGTCATTTTCGGGTCTTGTTCCACGAGTGACAGAAGTCGAGTTCTTATGTCAGTATCTTCTGGGTTCTTCAACCCACAAATAAAAATCAAACACTTGAACTGATCTGATGTCATTTCGTGTGGTTTGAACCTTTCGCATTCTTTGTTCACTTTGCCAGCGTAAGTGACATAATCATCGGAAGGCATTTTTGTCAACTGAAAACATTGATACCGAATATTAAACATGGATGACTGTTCACCAAAGATTTGTGATAAAACGGTGACTGTCTCATCGAATGATAACTCACGTGGGTTCTTAGGCAGAATGAAGTTAACATATCTGTTGTGCTCAACAGTTCCAAGTTTTCTTAGTAACAATCGGACTTTGGCAGCATCATCAAACATGTGGCATTCAATACGAAAAACGTCTTCATAACGATTGAACCATGCATCAAATACGAGACCAGATATTGGGTCGTAGTTGAATTCACTGATGGAATTTGAGATGCTTTCGTATTTGTCTGAATGAGATGTTGATGGAACTTGAATTGACAGCTTCTGAGTGAGAGCTTCGATTAATTTTAGTTGAGCTGCTTCATTCTGAAGTTGCTGCTGCTGCAAGATGGATTTGAGATCGTCCAGAGAGATAGACATTGTAATTGGGTTGTAATTAACACAGTCAAAAATGTTCTATAGATGCGCTGAACAGAATAAAACTCGTCGTCGCTTGCTTGTTATAACTGCAATGAATTAAAGTAAACCCGTCGCCAATTTGTTATAACTGCAATGAATTGAGGTAAACCCCGTCGCCAATTTGTTGTAACTGTAGGGGAATTAAATGAGGAACGTTGTTGCCTTGTTCTGTCTGCGCCTGACTAATATGCCTATCTGCTTCTGGTACCTTCCGATTCAGCGAACCACGCAAATATCAAAAGACAAAGTCTGGTCTGTGACTGTGTATTGTAGTACAACAACTACGACTACAACGACAAATAACTTATTTAGGAAATGGTATTTATACAATTTTACAACCAATACAGACAGCTAACAGTATTTGAAATAATTGGTCGTAATAGTCAATAACAAAATGCGTGGGAATGATGATATACCACTTATGCGAGATTAACAGTCATTAAGATAATTGAACAATAACAAAGTGCCTGGGAAATGATAATATAACACATATGCGAGATTAACAGTCATTAAGATAATTGAACAATAACAAAGTGTGTGGGATCCTATCACCTCCCCCCGTTAAAAGTGTAGGACTTGCTTTTTGGATCTATTTGAAAAGGTTTTGGAGCTCTTCTTTGTCGAGTTGACCTTCGCGTGGTACTGGATAGAATGTGATCTGCGTCCCGGGCTTCCGGCTGCGGAAGGATTTGGCGTCGTACGATCATGCAGCAAGAATCTATCCAAAATTTCTTCTGTTGTTCCCTCCCCCTTCGGTTTTGCATAAGCAACTTGGGTAAATTTGCAGCAACCAAGTTTGTCCTGGAAGACAGAAGCATGCTTTTGACGCAGGCGTTGTAAGAGAGACTGATCAGATACATGTCCGGGAACAACATTATTTGGTGAGGACGAAACATTAGAGCATACTGAATTTAATGGTACATTGAAGATATGGAGCTTGTCTAACCAGTCAAGACCAAGCAAATTCAAATCATGGTAGTTTGTGACGTAACATACACCATTGAACTGATTCTCACCAAACTGAACCTGGCAATTTATCTCACCCACGAGTTTCAGTATATCTCCAGAGGCATTCTTAGCGACATGCTCGGTCGGCAGAATCTGTGGGCACCCAAGTTTGCGCCACGTAGTTCGGGAAATTAAGGTGATATCTGATGCCGTATCCAACTGAAGACGAATAGATTTGCCGTTAATACGTAGTGTAATGTACTTACGTTTGCTGGCGAAATCGACTTTGGAAGTTGTGAAAATGGTCTGTATTCGAGGAGATTGTTTCGGCTTGAAACGACTACTTCTGTTCTTCACCGAAGAATTTTTCTGTGGTGGACAGTAACCCTCTTTATGTCCAAAACGGTGACAATTACGGCATTTATGTTTCTTGAAAGGACAGAACTTGACAAAATGCCACGAACCACAGTGCCAGCACACTGAAGGAGGTTTAGCTGAATTCTGAGACTGACGTGCTGTGTGCTTAACGGTGATCGGAGGACTTTTCACTGTGTTAATTGAACCAAATTCAGACGACTGTCGTTTGCACTCCACCATAGCAGTATCGTGCTTCAAGTTGATTAGGCGTTGGCATTCTGCTGTCATCATTTGTAAAGTCATTTTCGGGTCTTGTTCCACGAGTGACAGAAGTCGAGTTCTTATGTCAGTATCTTCTGGGTTCTTCAAACCACAAATAAAAATCAAACACTTGAACTGATCTGATGTCATTTCGTGTGGTTTGAACCTTTCGCATTCTTTGTTCACTTTGCCAGCGTAAGTAACATAATCATCGGAAGGCATTTTTGTCAACTGAAAACATTGATACCGAATATTAAACATGGATGACTGTTCACCAAAGATTTGTGATAAAACGGTGACTGTCTCATCGAATGATAATTCACGTGGGTTCTTAGGCAGAATGAAGTTAACATATCTGTTGTGCTCAACAGTTCCAAGTTTTCTTAGTAACAATCGGACTTTGGCAGCATCATCAAACATGTGGCATTCAATACGAAAAACGTCTTCATAACGATTGAACCATGCATCAAATACGAGACCAGATATTGGGTCGTAGTTGAATTCACTGATGGAATTTGAGATGCTTTCGTATTTGTCTGAATGAGATGTTGATGGAACTTGAATTGACAGCTTCTGAGTGAGAGCTTCGATTAATTTCAGTTGAGCTGCTTCATTCTGAAGTTGCTGCTGCTGCAAGATGGATTTGAGATCGTCCAGAGAGATAGACATTGTAATTGGGTTGTAATTAACACAGTCAAAAATGTTCTATAGATGCGCTGAACAGAATAAAACTCGTCGTCGCTTGCTTGTTATAACTGCAATGAATTAAAGTAAACCCGTCGCCAATTTGTTATAACTGCAATGAATTGAGGTAAACCCCGTCGCCAATTTGTTGTAACTGTAGGGGAATTAAATGAGGAACGTTGTCGCCTTGTTCTGTCTGCGCCTGACTAATATGCCTATCTGCTTCTGGTACCTTCCGATTCAGCGAACCACGCAAATATCAAAAGACAAAGTCTGGTCTGTGACTGTGTATTGTAGTACAACAACTACGACTACAACGACAAATAACTTATTTAGGAAATGGTATTTATACAATTTTACAACCAATAGAGACAGCTAACAGTATTTGAAATAATTGGTCGTAATAGTCAATAACAAAATGCGTGGGAATGATGATATACCACTTATGCGAGATTAACAGTCATTAAGATAATTGAACAATAACAAAGTGCCTGGGAAATGATAATATAACACATATGCGAGATTAACAGTCATTAAGATAATTGAACAATAACAAAGTGTGTGGGAATTGATGATATACAACTTATACGAGATTAACAGTCGTTAAGATAATTGAACAATAACAAAGTGTGTGGGAATTGATGATATACAACTTATGCGAGATTAACAGTCGTTAAGATAATTGAACAATAACAAAGTGTGTGGGATCCTATCAGGCACGCCATAGTAGCGAAGTAGTTTCCAAATCACCTCTCGATCGACGTTGCACTATCGAAGGCCTTTTCAAAGTCGATGAAGTTGACATAGAGAGGAGGTGACTATTGGATAAGTTTATCTGAAATTACAGGCAGTGTGGTATACATTGTTAATTTAATATAATTGGATGACACTTCCAACTGTGATTTGGTAGATTGAATGACGACATCTCTCGGTGTGTGTGTGTGGCGAAAATGCTTTAACCTTTTTGCCTACAAATAATAATCCTTGTAGACTGTGTGGTATTATTAGACAAGAGACTAGAGACTTCATACTGGTCACACTCACTACCATCTGATGTCCAAGCAGAGTATTTTTTGTACGCTACTACAGGAGGTCAATGGCGAGTTTGAATAGCTAGATGGTGATAATGCCTCTGACTGCAGCACTGGTTGACACATGTTCGAATTTCAGAAGGGATATGAGTTCCTTGATGACCGGTGAATGTGCCAACAAGCAAGAGACCTAGGTGTAGAAAGGGCTTGCTGCCGATTTGGGCTTAAACCGTGCAATGACAACAATTCAGAGAGTGCTGTGATGTAATCGCCAGCCACTTAGCGTATTAGCCTCATAGCAAAACTTGACCGATAGGATTCAGTCTGCAATAAACAAAGGACTCGACACTTGACGCCAGCCATTTAATAGTAATAATAATAGTAATTTATGTTTCGTATAAACGGGGAAGTTTACAAGAAATGCATGCCATTTTTACAGGCACGATCAGTTATGTTATATAAATCACAATCGTGAAGTATCATAAATTAATACTTTTTCAAAAGTTTAAATTCCTGGATTATTGTACAGGTAATCAGAACAGATTCGTATAAAGGTTAAATTGTAAGCTTCTCACCATCAAGGTTGAGCGACGATACAAACTTCACTCCGTTGCTTGCTGATAGTTATGGCCAACCGGTGAACAGCCTATAGTTTGTTAAGTACTATGCCCCCACGTGATTGATAGCTATTTCAGGAAGAGGAGAACGTCCTGAGAAACTGTACAATGGTATAAAAAAATGCAATTATGGATAGTGCATCATCGGAAGGACATTTTGTGTGCGTCAGTGACACAGCGGTAGAATGCTCGCTGACCGCGCATGTGGTCTGGGGTTCGATCCCTGGCCACCGACGCACTCCTTCACCATGCTAAGGCAGTAATAAAACTGGTAAAGAGGGAAGGCATCCCCGCGTCCCGTAAAAGTAAACACCACTGCTACAGAAACTTCAAGCCTCTAGCTTGAAGCCGTCGCTATGTTCCACTGGGAACTTAAAGAAATGACAAAAGGAAGTACATTTACAAGATATATGCAAGAATGAGCTGGAGACTCCTTGGAATGATAGTATACATTTGCAATGTTTAATGATAAACCTTATTGGTCTTAGCATGGAAACCATGACATTTTCAATGAAAATAGAGCTCTGTTCAAACATTGGTGTTGTTGTGTTTTTCATCAAAGCAACCGCATTTTAAGCAAGCAACGAATATGAACAAAAAGCAAGTTTTAGCTTTAATAAAGGCCTAGGTAGTTAAGATCAGATAGAGTATAACAGTGCGCAAATAAAAAGATTAGTGTGAGGTAGGTAAGTGATATTTAAGTGAGGAGTGAATTCAAAGATCTGGAAGATTAGAACGTGTAGGACAAGCTGACCTGTAAGATATCTCACGAATTTCTGTAGGGCCCGTAAGGCGGCATCTTGACAAGGAGCTGAGCAGGCTCGTAGATGGTAGGAGCGAAAGTATGTTTTTTTAAACTTTAGATCTGTACAACTCCTATTATTTTTTTGTTGAGGATCCAGACTAACGTTTAATTCCTGAGCTCTCAAAAAATGCATGTTGCTATCCTATAGATTGGAGCGATCCATATTTGTGACCACCACCATCATATCTGCTGACCAGCAGGCGTTACCCGCGCTGTTTTATAATTTTATACACTTATCAAATCCAACAATCAACACCTGGTTTTGTTATCTCTTTACCAATGTGCCAACTTGACAACGCAAAAATGCCCCCATGCTGAGGGACAGCGAGACGTTCAGAAAAATCTTGCTTTGATTTTTTTTCTTGAACACTCTGGGGTTAATTTAAATTACTTATAATCAACAATGATTAAGTTGTTATATATATATATATAAGCTGAGATTTTGTAAATTCTGGTTTAATAATACCTACGCTAGTAGCGAAACGTCAGTAAAAACAATATCCAAGTGTTGGTTTGTAGGGATTTGATTGGTTACAGGATTTTCATCATGAGCTGACATTAGTTAGAGAACCGTTGGAAAACCAGCTGGGAGTACTGGACAGCTGTTTCGTCCTGGTTTGGGACTCTTCATCAGTACGCACCCACTGAGATTCGAACCCAGGACCTTCTGGTTACAAGGCGAGCTCGTATACCATTAAGCCACTGGGACCCGATCCAATGGCCCATGAATTCTAACTTCTGCCAATCCACGACATAGCACAACCCCTAGCCAATGTCTTCGGCGAGTATTTGTCCTCACACCCGACCTGCTGCACCCTACTGGTCACGACTTCTCACTAGAACCCCAGGTAACTACCTACCTGAATAGGGAAAGTCGCTAGTGAGCATCTCATCGATATTCAAGTGTTGGTTTGAAACAGCTGTCCAGTACTCCCAGGTTTTCCAATGGTTCTCTAACTAATGTCAGCTCATGATGAAAATCCTGTAACCAAAAACAATATCGTTTTGTTTTTCATTCACTGGGAAATACAAAAAACCTTTATTATTATTATTATTATGGCTAATTGCACAATTTTTATCCACCATCTTATTATCCTATAAACAAAACACCATGATGATTGGTTTACATTTGGATTTTTATTTGCAAAGTTATGTAGGAATATATCAGAGTTAAGCCTGAAGATGAGATCTAATTGTGAAAGCACAATGTTGTTCGCTTAAATGTCTGTTGTTCTAAATTATACTGTTAAAGTTCGTCGTCGTCGGTTTTCGACATAGAACTTTGCACATATGTGTGGCAGTTCAAGTCGCCACACTCCCTGTAGCACACAAAGCAAGAGAAGAAAATAGGAGAAATGCATAATAGAGAGACAGTAAACAGAGGTGTGAGACAAAGGCATAGTAATAACGGAGAACAAAACAGTTTAATAGGAAATCATGAGTCACAAGGAGTGGATGCATCTGCGCTAGCCAGGCATTGAGAACGATTTTGAGCCATGTCACCAATTGTTTCCAAGCATTGGTTTTTACCGTCCCGAGGATCCCAACCAGGAAGCCAGTCTACATCTTCCTACGTGGCTTAGACTAACTGTTGCAGATTTCATTGACTGGTAAAGCCATGTTTTGGTTTGACCGCCGCTAGCTCTTTTCCAGCCTGACCCTATATCAGCTAACATTGCCCATTGTCGAGGAAGGCGATGACTAGGCATGCATGCGTAACACATGTCCTAACCATCTCAGTCGATGTAATTTCACAGTTTCGTCGACTGATTTCCCCGCCTTACCTAGCACTCGACCGACACCTAACCTCAATATTGCTCACCTTATTATACCACTTCACGCGGGAGATAGAACGCAGACACCTATGATCGAAGACAGCTAATCAGCCTTTTCATGTCTTCTACTCTCAATGGCCAGGTCTCACAGCCAGCCATAAAGGTGGAC